GAAAGCAAGATGTAATTGGTGTCAAAAAATATTAATATTTCTAACATGGGAGTATCTGCATTAAATTCTTGTGCAATTGGTAAAAAGCATAAAGAGCATGCAAGAACACATAATGCAGCTGATGTGTTCTTTACTGGTAGTTTTTTAGTTATTTGATTTGATTTTTTACTTTTTTTTTTGAAAATGTTTTTGAATTTTGGAATGCTTGGAGCAAATTGATTAGCTGTGCACTTTACGGGATATTATTTTTTTTTTACGCATTTTGTTCCTAGATTTTACTACGGAAATATCTGGCAATAACTGCTTTTGTTAACTTACAAGAACATTTTCCTAATTCAAAAAATGTTTTAAATGACAAACTGGCACAACCTACTATAGAGGATCTTAAATCTCCAGCTCTGGTTACTAAGTCTGAAATAATAAGGAACTTGAATGTTGTAATGTCACATTTTTTGTTAAGATAGTGCTTAAATTTAAATGAAATATTTAAATATATGTTCTCTGATAGTACAATAGCATCAAAGTTTGCATTAAGCAAAACAAAATGTGGCTACCTCATAAATTTTGGTTTAGCACCATACTATCGAGAGCAACTTCAGAGCATTTCAACAACAAGAGCATTTCAGCATTTTAATTTTTGGACTTTATTGTTTCACAGTTTCTATGCAACTTGCTGGGTAGAAGATGAAGGTGTGGCTTCTAGAGGCATTATTGTATGGCCAAACATGGTTAAAATTATAAAATATTGGGAATCACTATGCAAAAGCAGACGTCCTGAAAATAAGATCTATGAAGTTCTGGTAGATCATCATCTTCACAATTTTGTACCTTTGCGAATGCAGTTTTTTAAAGAACTTGCTAAAAAATTGAAAGAATTTTTAGTTCTATTTCAAACAGAAAGACCTGCGGTTGCATTTTTATCTAACAGTTTAGAAAGCATGTTGCGAAGTTAGATAAAATTTGATTCCCAAACCAAACATTTTAAATGAAGCTGCAATTGTATATAGTTTTATAAAGATTGAAGTAGGTAAATCAAACAACCAACTAAATCTAATATATATATATATATATATATATATATATATATATATATATATATATATATATATATATATATATATATATATATATATATATATATATATATATATATATATATATAGATATATAGATTGATTGAATCTATATACTATATAGATATATAGATTGATAGATAGATATATTTATATATATATAGATATATATATATATATATATATATATAAATATATATATATATATATATATATATATATATATATATAAATATATATATATATATATATATATATATGTATATTATATATATATATATATATATATATATATTCATATATATATATATATGTATATTATATATATATATATATATATATATATATATATATATATATATATATATATATATATATATATATATATATATATATATATATATATATATATATATATATATATATATATATAGATAGATAGATAGATAGATAGATAGATAGATAGATATAATATTGTTTTCAGCGTCATCAATTACTTGATGACGCTGACCCAATAGGTCAGCAAAATATCATTAATATATTATTATATCAAAATATATTTAAAAAATAGTTACACGCTGCCTTTTTTATTGAGATCAATTTATATATTTATAAACATATCGTATAACAAGAAATGACTTTTAAAGATTATATATATATATATATATATATATATATATATATATATATATATATATATATATATATATATATATATATATATATATATATATATATTTATACATGTATATGTTTGTATGAGTTTGTACAATTTTATTTGCACAAACTTTACATAAATATATGTATTTATATATGATTAATAATACACAAATGATTATATGTATGTATATATGATTTATATGCCACTGTTACAGTGTGTTGTCTAACTGAAAGTCCCTCACCTATTGCTGTGAGGTCTGTTTTTTTTAAAATATTTTTTGGTAACAAAACAACAGGGGTAGATTGTTCTTTTTTTATATCTGCTACATATTCACAGTCAGAATTATTATCACTACTTGAAGAATTTTTTAAACTGTATAGATTGTTATTATTGTTTAGTTTAATTTCCATGTTTAACATGGAACACAATTTTTTGTGGGATCTCTTAATAGAGTACGTAAACCTTTTATCATTTGTTCCTATTCTTATAAAAAACAAAGTACCTTCCTCGTATCAAGCAAATATAAGAGTGAAAGAACAATTAAAAAAAAATCTGATTATGTAAAGAATTCATTGTTAACAAAATAAATTTATAAACATGAACTATGTTTGAAAATTAATTACTTCAGAAACTAATCATTAATGTGATTTTATTATGTATATATAAATATTTTGATATGTAAAGTATCTTGTTAGCAAGCAGAACACTAATATAGTGCAAAAAAGCTTAAAAATGCCTTTTTTATAATTTTTTTGATCTTAAAATTGTTCAAATAAAAAAAAAAAATTAAGCTTAACATTCTATTTTCATTTTCTTCAAAAAAATAAAACAACAAAAAAGAAAGAAAAATTAATTTGAATAATGGTAACACTCCCCTCAGTTAGTCTAAAATTTGGGCAAAAAATGAGCAAAAAATGACCTTTAGACGCATTGAGGGAAGTCATGGAATGATCTAATTATGAAAAAAATATATTAGTAATATCAAGCTTGGGGCATATTATAAAAAAGCAATCTTAGTTAAAATTCAAAAAAGTCATTTTTTTGGAACACCCTAATACACCAACACAATAAACTGTATATATATATATATATATATATATATATATATATATATATATATATATATATATATATATATATATATATATATATATATATATATATATATATATATATATATATATATATATATATATATATATATATATAGATACACACACACACACATACACACAATAACCTCGTAATTATTCAAACTGGGACTTATCGAATTTCCTGCTTAGTTGAAGCAATTTTCATTCCCTGTGATTTTTCCTTAGCAAACTCATATTCATCAGTTATTCAAAATTTTGTTTATTTTAAATAATTTTATGCTTGTCAGTTATTCTAAGTTTTTCTACAATTGAAAATACCATAGCGTTGCATTTCCAATTATAGCAGTAAATCTAACACAATGCAACTTGGCATCTTTACAAAAGAAGTTAAAAAAAGAAGAGAAGAGTTATGTTTTGGATAGCAAGATTCTGTTGACAAAGCTGATGTTGATAAAGAGAGAAATCTTTAGATTTTGCAAAAGAACTCAACACATTGGATTTTAAGACTTCTGAAGGGTGTCTAAATTGGTGGAAAAATAGTTATAATGTTGTTTTTTTAACTAATTTTAGTGAAAAAGGGTTGTGCCTAGAGGAAATTATTTATTTATTTTTTTATTTTAATTCACCTCCTCAAGGCCGAGAAGGCCACTACAGACGAGAAGGCTGCTTATTTTATGGCTATAACCCTCTCTAAACTCTATAACTCCGAAACACGAACCTTGACAAACAAGGCCGCTGCACGGAGAAACGAGTTAAGCACAGTACTACCAGAGACGTGGTGGGGATCGAACCCGGAACCACTCGTTTATGAAGCGAGCGCTCTACCACTACACCACTACCGCATTAAATGACATCAAATCAGGGACAGACTCATTTGGCATTTGATATTATTAAGGTATGAATTAATGACATTTACAAGATTGTTGAGTTCAATTTTATGAACAGCTTTCACAAAATCCGTTAATCAAAAAGTTGAACAATGTCTAGGAGGAAAAATTAGAAAAGTTTATTTGACTTACCTACAAGTAGGAAATGGGGTTTTTGAAAAGCTGTTCATGTTGATAATTAGAAAGACAGTAATATTATATTGTTTTAAAAGTTTCAAAAGCCTACCACAAAGTTCAATTGTGAAGTTTGGAAAGATGCTTTAATCATTGATTACTGCCTAGCTTATCATAATGTTAACAACATCAAAGCAATTGAATTAGTATTTTTACTACCCAACTCAATCTCTAAAAACACAACTAATGGACCAGGGTGTTTTAAAAGGATTGAAGGCTTTTTATCACATCAAAGTTGTGAGGTTTCAGATTAAATACATTGATGCTTGTAAAACAACCCAAAAGATTGACATTCTTGAAGCTATGCGCATGTTGATCAGGTCATGGGGCGTTGTATTGGCAAACCCTGTAAGAAATTGTTTTACAAATGCAGATATTTTGCAAGAAATACAGGTTATAAGTATAAATGGTAAAAACAATGGTTTCAAATTGATTCAAATCTTTAATTTCAATAAAATATCAACGAGCTTAGATAATTTTGTTTAGTAGATGAAGGCTTTGCTGTTAACAACTATGTAAGCATAGGTTTTCAGACTTGTAAAAGTGAAACAAATGATACCACAGATATAAAAATTTTAAATTCTAATTTAATCAAAAGTTGTACTGAGGAAGAAAAAGAGATAGATCAAAGTCAAACAATTTATCTCCCAAAAAGCCAAAATTATCAGAGATAGCATGTGCAATAAATTTACTTGAATGTTGTTCTCTTTTTGACAATAGTGGTGGTAAAATTAGACAATCACAAGCCTTGTATCAAAGATGTTTGAAAAAACATTTTTTTAGAAACGAAAAAGCAATTGAGAATGGACAATTTTTTTCAAAAAATTGTAAAGAATTTATTATTTTGCAAGCAAAAGACTTGAGCAGCATTTTCAAAGCATTTTTTAATGATCTTTTTTTTTACTCTCTATTTTTGTTAAAATTTGATAGTAATTTGAAATAAATCACTTTAGAATAGGTTTTCATTATTTAAAATTGTGGTTATTTATACCAATTTCTTATTTACCAAAGACTTAAATAGGAGTTTACTATACACACACGCACACACACACACACGCACACACATATATATATTTCTTTATATTTTGATAAAATTTATTTATATTTTTAGTCATTGTTTAGAAGTGTTGCAATGATGGTCCCTGATTATGCTCTTATCTCCGAAATATCCTTATATTCATTTGGCTTTGTCAATGTATTTTTTGTTTTTAAAGTGTTTTCATTTTTTTTGAGTGTTTTACATTGTTATTTATCAAAATTTCATTTATTTAAATTCTCACTAATTTTAAGTTTAAATTCTACCTTAAGTTTTAAACTAGTTTGGTGTAGAAAATGTTATGAGAAAAAGTAATTTATTTGTTTTTCAAATTTTAGGCTCGTCCATTGGCTGTTAAAATAGTCACGACCTATACATTATGTTCAGAACAATTATCTTCACAATGTCATTATGATTATGGTATGAGAGCAGTTAAATCTGTTCTTACTGCTGCTGGAAATCTTAAGGTGAAATTATTTTCCAATTTTATCAAAAAGTTAAAATAAAAAATAAAACCTAAAGCTATATTTTTAAGTTAAATTGAAAAAATAGACAAAAAGGTTTTACTTATGCCTTTTTAATTAAAAAAATGTTTTTATTCAAATTTTATTACTTAGCTTAAATATCCAGATGAAAATGAAGAAGTGCTTATTCTTCGATCAATAATAGATGTTAACTTGCCCAAATTTTTAGCACAAGATCTTCCCTTGTTTAAGGTATCATATAAAAACTTTTATGTTATATAAGTACCAATTAATATTAAAGATGTGCAGGATACCCAACCTGGACCCAGGTATGGAGTTATTCAGCAGTTTTTCAGAGTTTATTTTTTTACATTTTTGGCATTTGTTTGACAGGCAAACTAATTGATATTTTTGAAAAGCACTATAGAAAATTATTAATAGTATGAATTTTAATTTGCATTAAACTTCTTGATAACTTCAAATTTGTTTCACTTTTGGTTTATTTTGTCATGTTTTGAAAGTATATTTTATTATAAGCCGGCTTTTGAAAAAATTTGTTTAAATTTTTATTTATAAATATACAAATTTAAAAACATTAATTTATTTTTTTTATAAAAGTGTTATTTAAAAAAAGCCTCAAAATAGTATAATTTTAAAATTCTCAAAATAGTATAATTTAAATTTTTTTTGAAATTAGCATCATCTATTATCCATATGTACTAGCAGTAAGCAACCCGTAATACGGGTTAGTAGAATAAATCATTACTAACAATTTGATATTTATTAACTTTCTCTAATGAAATATAAATTTATTTATACATTTTTTTAGTTGAGCTTACTATTATTTTTCTTGGCTTCGTAGTTTAAGAGAACTCTTAGCTTCATTAAAGATAAAGTTAACCATTTCTTTTGCAATGTTCAGACATTGAATGCGCAAACCACAACCATGTAGTAGTTAAAAATGACTTGAATTATGTGCACAGAACATCGATGTCAAATTTTCAAATTCCGTAAAATTGTTTAGGTAAATATTGGGAATATAATTCTACTCTTAATTTTGCTTTAAGCTGAGTCGTTTCTTTTTTTTTTAAACTTTTCATTTTACTGAGTGAAGAGCTTAAAAATATGTCACTATCGCACCTAAACTTTTCAATGTTATTAATATACTTTTTAAATATTTTTAAAACATCTAAAATATTACACCCAAACTTGTAGGCATAAAAGTTGGATATCCGGAAAAACTATAAGTTGAAAAATATATCGCAATTCCGAAAAGGGCTTAGCCCTGCATACGGAACAAATCCTGTAAAGCTTGTGTAATTAGTGAAAGTGGATGCAAAGCTACCTTACCATTATGGAAACATAGAAAATGTGTTTCATCTGGAAATTTTTTAGCACCACAGTGCTGACAAATTTGATTCATTTCTCCTAAATAATTATAATCTGGAATAGCATTACTTCTCTCTATAGAATACATTCATCCTTGTCCAACAGCTCTTCTTTCATTTTGGCAACAATTAACATTATCCCGATTGAGCCTATTTCTTTTGTTTTGGCGACGATTAACTTTTTCTCGATTAAGCCTATTTCTTTCATTTTGTAAATGATTAATTTCATCTCGCCTAAGTCTATTTCTTTCATTTTGTAAATGATTAATTTCATCTCGCCTAAGTCTATTTCTTTCATTTCGTCTACGACTATTTTCAACATGCCTTATAGCACTTACATTATTTTGTAAATACATAACTTCATCTAGCCTATCATTCATTTCAATGTCATCATTTTGATTAAACATATTTATCAAAGCAACACTAATTATTTCTTTTTTTTACTACTCTAAAGTTAACAATAAAATAAAAAAACTTAATAAATAACTAAAAAAATCTTACTCAAAAAATAAAAAAAAAGTATTCTCAAAACAAATATATAAAGAATCCAAACTAATGCAAAATAAAATTAATTTGCCATCATCAAAAGTAATACAGGTTTCTTAAGTTTATTTGATAGAAGTTAAGAAAAACCTGCAACCTGCATATTAGCAAACACTTAATAAAAAAAGTTAAAATTTATTCTGTTTCTAATAAAGAAAAAAAACAACAACATATCTTCGCAGACAGCGTCATAAGGCATGCGTTGGGAGAAAACATTGAATAAAACGGGTAATAAAACTTATTGACGCGTTATGTACAATAGAAAACGGGTTATTAACACAGGTTTATAAATTTTTTTCCCCCAACACACTATTACGCTGCCGCAACTCCAAGGATATATATAGTTATATATATATATATATATATATATATATATATATATATATATATATATATATATATATATATATATATATATATATATATATATATATATATATATATATATATATATATAGAACATATATATATATATATATATATAGAACATATATATATATATATATATAGAACATATATATATATAGAACATATATATATATATATATAGAACTATTTATTAGCGAAAACATATGAATACCAAAATTTTTTATATAATATATATATAGTATATTTGATAAATAAACCTCTACAATTTTTTTGGTTCAACAACTTGATTATGATTAATAACAACTCTGTAAATATAAATTTTCTAATGATCTAAATCTTTATAAATTAGATATTTTATTTTATATCTTAATTTTAAATTAAATAAATTATATATATCTTAACTATATATTAAATCATTATAAAGTAGATATAAATAGAAAAACAAACATATAATAACACAATTATATTCTAAACCAAAATTCAATCATGGAAGGCAAATTATTAAATTTTTTGAAAAGAAAAAATACATATTTTTTTTCAAAGAGTCAAATTATTAACAATACTATAGATAAATTTTATTTATAACAAAATGTTGTCATGGCTTTTATCCCAATTATTAAAAGCATTTGAAAGCATGAAACTACCCATAAATATCTTTTAATGGTAGACACCATCTAAGAATTATAGTAATCTATATTTTCAAAATTCACATGTATAACACGAAGTTTTAAATTTAAAAGTACAATTTAAAAAAGAATACAATAAACTAATTACTTATAAAATTTTAAAAAGATTTTATAAATACTCAATGTCTACTTAGACATTTTGAAAAGATTACGATTTTGAAAACTTGAAACTTTAAATTTAAATTTTAAAAAACTGAAAATTTAATTCTACCTCAAAGAAAACAGATATATATTGAAAAGTATTTTTATTTCTTTTTAAAAATTTAAAAATGCTTTTAAACTTACTCCCTCCAATATGATTATATAATATATATAGTATATATGATAAATAAACCTCCACAATTTCCTTGGTTTAACAACTCGATTATGATTAATAACAACTCTGTAAACATGAATTTTCTAATAACCTAAATAAATTACAGATAGACAAACATAAATAACACAATTAAATCCTAAACCAAAATTCATTCATGCAAGACAAATTATTTTATATTTATTGAAGAGCCAGAAACATATTTTTTTTCAAAGAGCAAAAGTATTAACAATATTAAAGATAAATTTTATTTATAACAAAATTTTCAATAAAAATTAAATTAAGATAAATTTATAACAAAATGTTGTCTTGCTTTTATCCCAATAACCAAAACTATGTGAAAGCATGAAACTACCCATAAATATATTTTAACGCTTGACACAATCTAAGAATTAAAGTAATCTATAACACGAAGCTTTAAATTTAAAATTACAATTTAAAAAAGATTACAATAAATTAATTACTTTTAAATTTAAAAAAGATTTTAGATTACCTATAATTTTAAGCTACTAAACATTATCTGCTTAATGTCAACTTGGACAATCTGAACTCGTACCATGAAAGATTGAAAGGAAATCTTTAAGAAAGCACGTGGTAAAGAAAAGTCTAGAAACTACTTAAAAAGTGTATTTTACAGATACAGAACCGTGCCGTAACTATAAAACAATACACGTAACTATGCGCACTAATAATAATAATAATAATAATATTCATTTGGCTATTCATTATAGAGATAAATGTATTATCTTTATATGTACAAGTGCTATGTGATTTAATGAACCTACGATTTAATGAACCTTTATTTCAAAAACAAAATAAAATCTATTGCTATGTGCACAAAATTAGGAACAAGACTAGCACATATCTAGTTAATATTTTGTATAGAAATTTGTTAATGTGTTGTTTTTGGAATATTTTATTGATTGTTTATTCTTATTTTCTGAAATTTTTTCAAGGCAATAACAACTGATTTATTTCCTGGTATTTCTTTGCCGAAGCCAGACTACATAATTCTAACTCAAGCTATCAAAACAAATGCTTCAAAACTAAATTTACAATTGACAGATTTTACATTAAGTAAAGTCTTACAGGTGGTTTATTTACTTTAATATTGTAGCAATCTTATGTTGTTTATAAATATTTATTGGAACAAAACTAGTTAAACAAAAAATAATAAACAAAAATTATTCTATTAGTCAAACAATTTTTGGTATATTTTAAAATACTTTTGTTTCTGTTGTTTTATTTTTTACAAGCCGATTTTTGTATAGGTTTATGAAATGATGGTAGTACGCCATGGATTCATGCTGGTAGGGGATCCATTTGGAGGAAAAACTATGGCTTATAAGTTATTAGCTAAAGCTTTGACTGATATTAAAGATCAGGCAAGTTGATAAATTACCATTTTTCCTTTAGTTTGTTGTGTTTTTAGTAATGCTAATTTTGTTTTTTTATTGTTATGGGCTTATTTTTAAACAACCAAAGTTAAAGATAAAGCATTTTTTAATTTGTTTTATCTAAGTTTACCCATACTAACATATGTGCTAGGATATATCAAACTTTTTATATTATTTTGAGCAAAATTAATTTTATTTGCATAAAGTCTACAGAAAAACATTACTATAGACAAATATTTCACTAAAATCAACTTTTATCATTAGTTTATCAGTTTGGGTAAGTATTTTTTGAACTCGGAACTATATCTCTGTGTTCTATTTTTGCTCTGATAAAACCTTGTCAACTCTGAAAATTTCAATATGCTGATTCTGTTTTACAAGAGTGAATATGGAGAGGGTAGGGTAGCACTTCTGTTCAGTTCTGTTAGCTTTTCTAAATCTTTTTTTTTATGTTACACATGAAATTATTTATCTCCAAGTTGAACTTAGCAAGAATTTTTATACTTTTGAAGAAAAAACCTTTCAGGTTATGTCTTTTCTTATGTAAAGTCAAGTGATTACCTGGCCAATTTTGTAGTCCGATTCCATAACTTATATTACTGTTCTTTAACATTACTTTAAATTACTTAGAGTATCATTATGTACAATATTATTAAGCTCTTTTAGTAAAGTTCCATAATTTATTTTAATATTTTTTACTTAAAATAGTTTTTAGATTACATAAAAAAAAGCAAATGAAAAAATTCTTTTCAATCTTTTTTTTATTATAGTTATTAAATTTACTTTATTAAGTTCAACAAATGATATACTTAAAATTGAGTTATTTATGAAGTTTTTTATTATTATGAAATTTCAAAATAAGCTACTTGGCTGAAAAAGATAATCAAACATAATATGGTTCATATGTTTCTATTATATAAGTTCTGGTTTACATTTCTATATTGTCTAAAAATTTATGTTTTTTAATTTTCCTATTTAATAATGGGAATAACAGTAAATATTATTGTATCCAACAATTTGTTTTCATCTTATTACCACAATTTTAAAATTTTTGTTTTCGTTTCTTTTTGATTAGAAATGTTTTTAAACTCTAAGCGTTTGAAACTTTTTGACTGCATTTTTTGACACAAAGTAACAGATTATTAAATAACAAATTAACAGATTAAATAAAACATTTTACTGAGGATATTTTATAAGCCCTGCAACAAACATAAAACTTTGACTTTTATTATATTGTTTCCATGAAACACTTTAACTTTTTATAAGATTTTACATGTATTTGAAATTCCTTATAAAGGTTATCTTAGCTCTATCAGAAAAAATAAAATAACAACTTGTCATTTTAAGATCAGAAAAATGTTTATGCATGATCCACTACATCAAATGTATGGTACACTCTATAACAACTTGTTATTTTAAAATCAAAAAATAAAAATAAATATGATTCCATTAAATACAATGTTACTACTAGAATACAACGATTCTACTTCTTCAATACAATAATTCATACTGAAACACAATGGTACTACTAACTAAAAAATTTTAATATTTTACATTCAATATCTTTTCTTTTTATCTGAGATTCATTGTGTTTTCATTTTCTGACTTTTAAAAAAAAAATTTATTATAGTTTTTTTAATTTTTTATATTTTGTTTTGTATTATTATTATTATTTTTTTGTATAGACATTTATATGCATGCATTTTCGTTACAGAATCTTATGGATGAAAATAGAGTTCAAATATGTGTTTTAAATCCTAAATCAATAACTCTTGGCCAGTTATATGGTCAGTTTGATGCAGTGTCTCACGAATGGTCAGATGGAATACTAGCAGTTAACTATAGATTGTTTGCTTCTTCACAGGTATCTGTTTTTATTGTTGAAAAAAAAGTCAAATTAGATTCATTTTAATATTATCTTCTTTATGTTAAAAAATATTTGTTAATATTTTATGAATTCTCAGTAACAACTTGTATTTTAAGACTCCTGACAGAAAATGGTTAATTTTTGATGGACCAGTAGATGCAGTGTGGATTGAAAATATGAACACTGTGTTAGATGACAACCGCAAGCTCTGTCTAAATAGCGGTGAAATTATTCAACTTTCTCCATCAACTAATCTGATATTTGAACCAATGGACTTGGAGGTTGCATCTCCTGCAACAGTGAGTTTTTTTTTCCACACAATATTAGTTTTTGATTATAAACATGGAACATTTGTTAGTTTTAAATATATAATGAGCAAATTTTTCTTCCAGTCGCTTAAAAAAAATTTTATTTACAAAAATAGAGTATTTATGATTTGTTGCTGTTTGAGATTTGTTATAAGACCAAACACAAAGTTTTTAGTTTTACACAAGTGTTAAATAAGAATCTTATAAGTTAATAGTGAGTGGTGCTAAGTTTACTAAGTTTATATCAACTAAAAGATTTTTTGAAAATAATCAACCTTAAACCAAGTCAAAGTTCATTGCTCTTTAAATAAATTTGATTAGCAAACTTTTCACAAATTTAAAATAATTTTCATTTATTGGTAACTTTTGTTAAATTCTAGTTGATAATGGAAATACTAATGCATAAAATAAGTTCTAAGCCTCTTTTTTTTTAACTTTTTGCTTTTGTCATTACATTTCTGGTTTACCTGCTACAATCGCTCAAATGGTTATATTTATGGATAACTGCTTTTCCCAAAATAAAAATTGTTGCTTATTTGCAAAGTATTCTATTTGCACATTCCTACATTGGGAAAGTTTTAATTAATTTTCCCATCCCAGGTTGCATGCCCTGTGAAAGATATTTTAGTTGTAGATAATATTAAACATATAATATAATTTATACATAAACAAATTGTTAATATAAACAATATTATGATGGATGATTAAACCCCCCATTTTTAAAGCTCTTCATTTCAAAAGAGAATAGAACCCTTTGCTAAAACCATTTAGTGGATCAGTCAATTTATAGAAGCTAAGTTTATAAAAAGAATGAGTTGGTTAGCTGAATTTCAATGATTTCAAAATGCTCTGAGAAAATAACTCTTTTAAATTGTACAAGTCAAGATTTTTTAAAGTTGTTAATCAGTTTTTAATTTTTAATTTTTAATTTTTTTACTTTTGCTGAACTTCTCAACTATGATTTTTATCATTCAATTTATGATTATTTAATTTTGGAATTCTTTAATATTGAGTTTTGAATATTTACAAAATAATATTATTTCATAAATATGTAATTGATACTGTATACTTCTTTGTATCTGTTATTTTTCTTAAGACTTACCAATTTAATTCTTAAAAATATTGATAATAATCTTATAAAATAATAAATATTCAGTTTTCTTTATAAAGTACTTTTTATTTATTTCTAGATAAAACTTATTTTACATCTTATCAAAGTTCAATAAAAACATTATTCCCCCTCAAAATCAAGAATTATTTGATCAAGAGTTATTTAAAGTCGTCAAAAAACCTTGTGAACTTTGTTAAAAATCATTAATAAATAAAGGTTTTTTATTCTAAAAATATTTCTTGGAATTTATTTATTTGTACCATTATTTTAAGGTAAGTAGATGTGGAATGGTTTACATGGAGCCACATATGCTAGGTTGGAGACCATTGCTTTTGTCATGGCTAAACACATTGCCTGAAAGTATTACTCATGAAAAGAAAGAGCTTATTACAGAAAACTTTGATAGAGTTGTTAATCCTCTGCTGGCATTTTTAAGAAGAAGTGGTTTAAAAGTAAGTGGTTTTTAAGAATGTTTGGTTTAAAAGTATTTTATTTTAATAAAGGAATGTTTTAAAAGTATGTTGTTTTTATTAAGGAATGTTTTAAAAGTATATTGTTTTTAAGAAGGAATGTTTTAGCCAGATGTTGTTTTTAATAAGGAGTATTTTAAAAGTATGTTGTTTTTAAGAAGGAGTAGTTTAGAAATATATTGTTTTTAAGATAGAGTGATTTAAAAGTATGTAGTTTTGGTTTATTAAAAGTAGAAATTGTATTTTTTTTGTTTTATACTTTTTTAAATTGCATTATATAAATCAAGATAATTTACAATTTAATTATTGCAATTAATAGAGATATTACTTTTGATTGTTACTTTTGTAACATTTTTTATCTGCTTTTTATTTGCTGACAACATTTATTCTTAAATATAGCAAAACTGTCACCTTTATATAGACTAAAACTACTCTTGTTGTAAAATTGCAAAAAGTTGATGTAAAAGAAAAATTCAAACAAACTAATAATACCAAACACTCCTTTTGTTTAAAGATTTTCTGGCATGAAATACAATAAATCATGCAAAAAATTTGCAAGAAACTTTAAATTCATGTATATATATATATATATATATATATATATAATATATATATATATATATATATATATATATATATATATATATATATAGATATATATAGATATATATATAAATATATATGTATATAGATATATATAGATATATATAACAAAATCTTAAATTTTCAAATCAGGAACTTTCTCCCACAAATGATGCAAACCTAGTAACTTCTTGCATGAATTTGATGGATTGTTTTATAGAGGATGTTACTAAAGAAGATAATTTTAAAAACATTAACGATGCTGAAGTTACATCATGGTTAGAGGTAATATTTAGACTAGCATGGTTAGAGGTAATATTTATGTTTTACAATCAATTACCTAAACTTTTTCATTAAAAAAGTTTATTAAAAACATTTTTTTAGTCCATATTTCTGTTTTCATGTGTATGGTCATTTGGTGGCACAGTTGATAACAACGGAAGAACTATGTTTGATTTATTTTTTAGAGAAATAATGAATGTGAGAATTAATACATTTTTATTCAAATTATAAATTTTGGTTTCAATATTAAACTCATGTATCTACATATTAATTTTTTAGGGAGCACCATCACTTGAATCACAGAGAAAATATGCTATTTTAGATTCTGTAGAAGAACCTAGGAGACCTTATCTATGTCCGTTTCCAAACCAAGGTTCTGTTTATGACTATCATTTTATCAAAGAGGTATTTTTAATAGTGTTATACTCATTTGTTTAAAAATTATATGGAAAGTTGTTTTTGTATTTTACATTATTTCACTATATGCTAAAACAACATTAGATTTCAACAAGTGCTTAAGCACTTGTTGTTATTACGTGAAATGAAACACTCGTTGCATATATAATTATTAAATATGTTTCATATTATTCAACAATTTTTTGATGTTTGAAATATATTTTTAACTTTAAAATAAATGTTATGTTTTATATTTTTAAAATGTATCAAACAAGTTCTTGTTATGAATGAAAGAGTAAAAAAAAAGTATAAAAAATTGTTTCTATTTTAGGTAGTTTTACTGAATTTGAGTAAAATAACTATAGCAACTTGTACTGAACTGCCATAAATGCATGCAATAAATTACTATAATTATATGCTATTAATTACCATAACAACATAGGTCAAATAACTATCACAATATGCATTTAATAACATTTATGATACAAATCATATAAGTAGCAGCTGATCACTAAGAAAAATTTAGAAGCAGTTTATCGTTCCAAAATTGGAACTTAAAAAATTTCATAAATTCAACTAATTTTCTTAGATTTTTATCAGGAGTCTAATGGCTCAATCAGTGTGTTCATGATTCAATAATTGTTTTCATGGTTCAACCAGTGTTTGTATAATCAACAAATGTTCACATGATTCAATTAGTATTTGCATAATCAACAAATATTCACATGATTTAACCAATGTTTGTATAATTAACAAATGTTCATATAATTAAACTAGTGTTTGCATAATCTACAAATCTTTACATGATTTAACCAGTGTTTACATAGTTCAACTAGGGTTTGACTGTTTAAGTTTATGTTACATGGTTCTAGCTGCGTTTGATTTATTCGATCTTTGTTCACATGATTCACCCATGATTCTTATAAATAGTTATTTTGTTTTACAAATTTACAAACAAAATTGTTCATATCTACTAGAACCTTTTCTTTATTATAACAAATATAATAAAAGCAGAAATGTTTTAGGGCATGGGCAAGTGGAGATTGTGGACAGATGACATAAGTGAAGCTCCTATTATTTCTAAGGTTAGCTTAGGTTTTTTAAATTTTTATTAACTTTTCTTGCAGATTATAATTGGCTTCTAAAGTTTCCTAAATTTTAATTAAAGTCTGTAGATTTTTTTTTTTTCAGGATGCACAGTTTAATGAAATAATTGTTCCAACCATTGATACAGTTCGTTACACATACTTGATGCAAAAATTAATTAATCACCAAAAAAGTACACTTTTTGTTGGTCCCACTGGAACAGGAAAGAGTGTTTATATTTCTGTAAGTTGATAAACTAAATTTTTAAACTGTTTTTCATTTCTTGTTTTTGCTGATTTTCTTTACACGCTTATACTCAGGACTTTTTACTCAGAAGGATTGATGAAAAGTACAAGCCTACAATCATAAATTTTTCTGCACAAACAAGTGCAAATGAAACCCAGGACTTAATTATGTCAAAACTTGATAAAAGAAAAAAAGGATTGTTTGGTCCACCAATTGGAAAAAAATCAGTATTAATTTTTTATTATTTTTTATTTTTTTGAGTTTTTGTTTTGATTAAATTTGATCAAGCTCTATCTGCATGTTTATGTAACTCAGTGTAACTTTTGTAACTCTTGATTTTAAGTAAATAATACGCAAATAATGTTCATAATTAATTTTTTTAAAAACATTTTTACATTTATTTATTGTGAAATTTAATATAAGGTAGTCTATAAGGAAATAAATAGGAAATTAGCAACTAAGGAAATCACCAGGAATTTAAATTTAAACTATCAAAATAAATAAGTAACAATGTTGCTTATACTATTATAATTAATAATTTATTATATTTTTTCTCTCCCATCTTAAATGCAAATTAAGATGAGAGTTAACAGAAATTTATAACATTTTTTTTTTCTCTAAATGCAAATTAAGACTACTTTTCACATCAGATTCATATGCATTAGGTTTACTTTACCATTTTAAAACAATCTACAGGGTTCAGGGCACTCAGGGAAAACCTGGAAATCCAGGGATAAGTTTTTAAATTCTGAAAAATCAGGGAATACCTGGAAAAGTCAGGGAGTTTTTTTTTGAAAATCTTTAAAATCAGGTAAAAATTAGGGAATATTTTTTTTTTGGTTTATATATAACATGAATTCGTTTTATAACATACAAATTTTGAGTTTTTATTTTTATTGAAAGTTGCTCACTACAGTGGCTTTATAACTTTTATAAAATATAGTAACCATATGTTTAAATAAATATTTAATTAAATATAATAACATAAGGTATGACTTCAGAGAAGACCTATTTTCAAGAAGATTGGTTACAACACCATATTTATAAAATTTTTTAGGTAAAAAGTATCAATCTGCTACAATCCTGTTAGCTTTTTCTTTTTAATGGAAAAGAGTTGTGAGCTGAGCTGCTTAGATGTGAAGAAAAAAGTACAACATTTTCCACCAAAAAATAAATGACTATTAATTTCTTAATTAAATCATCTTTATCAACAAACGCTGAGATCATATGAGAGTACTAAAATCTATATAATAATTCTACTACTCTAATATGCAAATTTAAATGACTCTTTTAAAAAGATGTTTCCTGACAGTAAGGTAGTAGAAGATCTTACATTGTTAACTGGCACCATACTTCAAGACACTCTTAAAAGAAGAAATCACAAAATAAGATTGTTACATCATATCTTTTGATGAGAGTTTGAAGGACATAACTCAAACATGACAGATGGATCTACTCATTTGATATTAGGATGTCAATGAACAAGTTAAAGTAAGATATTGGACATCAACTTTTCTCAGTCATTCTACAGCTTCTGACCTGCTTACTCATTTTAACAAAAACTTATCAAGATTTGATTTAATTAAAATGTTTCAAGTTTCCATAGATCCTCTACAAATTAGAAATTTCTAGATGATCTAAATAAACGCAAAAAGAACGAGATGCCACAGCTTATAAATATTGGAAGTTGCTCCTTGCATATTGTTCATGGTGCCTTTAAAACAGCTATCGAATCAAACACATGGAATATTAAAGAAACTCTGAAAGGGTGTTAGAAATTCTTTACGACAGCCTGGCTAGGCATCAAGATTATGAAACAGTCACAGATGCAACAAAATACCCTCTTTTCTTTTGATGAGTTGAAAACAAATCTTTTGCAGATTGTGGCATTGAAATCTGGCCTAATTTATTTAAGTTAATTGAGTTTTGGGGAAAGTTACCACCTTTAAAGCAACCAAAATCAATATGCTTTTTAATTGTCAAAAGAGCTGTTAAAGGCAAACTTGTTCTTTTAAATTTGAAGTTTTTAGCTTTGTTGCCAGTATAGTAGAACCATATTTGTTGGCGTACCAAACTGACAAGCCAATTATTCCATTCATGTATAGTGACTTAAAAAGACTGTTGTAGACCATACCGAGCTTGTTTGTGAAACACAAAATTATTGTTAACTGGTCAATAGCAGAAGTTCATTTTCATTAAAAAAAAATGATTATCTACTTAAGGGAAATCAAACCAAACTGGGATTTGTAGTTAAAACAACATTAGCATCTTTACAAAAGAAAGATATAATAGCAATTACTGATATACAAAGTTTCCAAAAAGATTGCTCTAACATGTATGTACAACTAATTAAAAAGTTCATGGAGTGAACTCTATTAGGGTCCAGCATTGTACCCAATTCTCAGGTTTGTAACCCTAATGCGTTGATAACAATGTCTCCAGAAAATGCAGAGGAGTACAAATCTTTATGGAGCTTAAAGTATCTTTCACCAGTCTTTTTTGATAAAGCTATAATCAATTTACAAATTTCTTTGAAAAATCAAGAAAATCAAGGGTTCATCAAAACAATTTTCATGAATATAATAGAGATAGAGATAGTTTAGGCAACTTCTATTTTAAAAAGTTCAGCCATATAATACTGAAATTACATACAAAATGATAATTGTTGTAAAATCAGCCCATGAAATATATAGAATGTGCCTCAGTTCAATAACAGGCACTAATAAAATCTTAAATCAAAAAAGAAAGCTACTAAATAACTTTATATAAAATAGATCTCATATAAAATTTATATTTTGTTAAAACATTACTTTGTTCAGAATATCTTTTTACAAAAATCTTTTTTTTATGTTTTTAAGAGATGAATAAAAAAAGGAATGAGGTTTAAAAAATTATGATGAAAATATCAGGGAAACATAGATTCAGTTACAAAAGTATTATTTCCTTCGACATTAACAAGGAAAATTATAAATTTTTTACCACCCAAAATCAGGGAAAAAGGACTTGAAGTTGGGTGAAAATCTAATATATATGTTTTTTATTTTTAAGTCAGAACAAAATTATATATACATTTGTGAGCTTTTATATTTATGAACAAAAAAGAGCATTAACTTTTTGACATGGTTTTTATATTTTTTATTAGATCAGAAAATTTTGTATAACAATTATATTTTTATAACAATTTTTTTGGTTAACTTCTGTTTTGACACAAAAAAAGACATTAGCATGAGAACTCTATTATTTTACTGCATGCTTTTGTGATTTAAAAATCATATAATCCAGTCTTTAATGTGTGTAACTGTCCTTCTCCTCAAGCAGGAAAAGAGAGGAGAAAGGGTTTGATAGTTTTTAGTGACCTATTATTTTGTTTTACTTTATAAAATATTATTAATTTTTATTCTTAAAGATAATTTTTGTTGATGATTTGAACATGCCAATAAAAGAAAAGTATGGAGCTCAACCTCCTATTGAACTGTTGAGACAATGGTTGGACCATTGGCAATGGTAATAACTTTCAATATGATGTGCTTTAATTTATTATATGCAATGCAAAGTATACCTATACTATATTTTTTTACTATTTAAAATAATAAAAGAATTTATTATATAATGTATATTCCATTATAATAAATACATAGAAAATTTTATTAATAAATAAAATATGAATTATATTTAATAAAAAAATACTTATAAAAATGAATTATATTTAATATAAAAATTATATTTAATAAAAAAATACTTAATAAAAAAATAAATATGTAATATATTTTAACAATAGAATAAAATAATAATATAAAAAATATATTACATTGTAATAAAAAAATTAATGTATAATATTTTAACGAAAAAATAAATATACAAATTATTTAAAAATAAATTTAAAAAAATATAATATAAAAATTTATTGTATTTTTATATAAAATATTTTAAATACTTGTAAAATATTTGATACTTGCATATTTGCAATTAAAAAAAAAAAAACAGAATTATTATTGGCTTTTTAAGGCTATTCATATATTATTTTTGTGTGACCTCATTAGAATGTTAATACTTTATTTTGAGTTATAACTATTTATATATTGAGTTATAAAATGAAACACGGTGGCTGATGAATGAAAATAATACATGCAGGATATAATATTTGTTTTTCAAAACACAAATAAAATGCTCAAAAATTATATAAAAAATTAGTAAAGCCTCAATTATTTAGAAAACGACACAAACATTTACTAAATTTTTGTGTCGTTTTTTATTTTCTTAAACATAGTCTAAGAAAATAAAAAACTTTTATTATATATAATAAAATGAAAAAATAATATTGATAGTTCTATGCTTTTTTTTGTTTTATTTTATTTTTGTTTTAAAAAACTTGTGAATAACATAAATCTCAGTTCTCTGTTAATTAACTACCATTAGGTATAACGTAAAAGATACATCACCCATTTATCTTGTGGATATTCAAATTATGGCTGCTATGGGTCCTCCAGGTGGTGGTCGCAATACAATAACACCACGGTTTTTGCGCCATTTTAATACAATAGCAATTAATGATTTCGATAATGTGCAAATGATAAAAATATTTGGTACAATTACTGAATGGCATTTTAGCACAAAGTAATAGCTTTGAATAGTTTTGTTAAATTTGATTTAATTATGATAAAAAACTTAATAAGTTTATATACTCTATAGAGAATTCCAACAAGACTTCGTTACACTTGGTAAAGAAATTATTAAAGCTACAATTGTTTTGTATACAAGTGCATCAGCAAATCTGCTTCCAACTCCTTCTAAATCCCATTATTTGTTTAATCTACGGGATTGTGCTCGTGTTGTGCAAGGTTTACTTTTATCCAGTCCTACTACAATAAACAGTTTAGAGTCGCTTAAGCGTCTTTGGATTCATGAGGTGTAGTTTTTTATATTTGTTGTCCTTTTAAGGAGTGATCTTAACTCTAATCTGAAATATATATAATTCAGTGGGTACAAAACATCCAAAACACGTAGTTATATGTGTTAGTATGTTTTTTATACGTCTTAAACACATCATGTGCCCGCAGGGTATGGATAAGATGTTATACAATTATTAAACAAGTTATTTTTTTCTTTTAGGTTTTTCGTGTTTTTTATGATCGTCTTGTAGATGATAATGATCGTACATGGTTTGTGGAGAATGTCAAAGAAATTATTAAAACCGAATTAAAAACAGACATCAATCAACTGTTTATAGATCACAATGACAATGTAAAAGATGATAGAAATGAACTTCAGCAGATAATGTTTTGTGACTTTGTTGTGAAATCAGACACAAAGCCATATTTAGAAGCAATTGATATTGACAAATTAAGAAAGATTTCTGAAAACTATTTAGATGAATATAACAACTTAAGTAAAAAGCCTATGAATCTTATACTCTTCAGGTAACTTTTAACTGATTAAATAAATTAATATAATCAATTATTTATAAATTTGTAAAATATAATGAATATAACTATAACAATGGGTGTTCAATAAAAATCTGTTTTCAAAATGTTTCAAAATTAAAAAAAAAGTTTTTGTAATTAAAAAAGTTTTATTAAAGTATCATAATAATGGATGATACTTATTTTGACTCTGGCTTCATCGCATTATTATGAAAAAGTAGTGTTAAATGAAAAATTCTATAAAATATGTGGCCAAAGTGTATAACCTGCCAAACAAATCAGAATGTTGCCTAGTTGATGAATTTTGGAGTATGCTAAAATGAATGATTATGCAAAGAATTGGAAAGTAAAAAAATCTGAAACAACTTCGTATTAGAATAAATTGCTGCCTGAACAAAGTCAAAAAAACCTCACAAAAGACTTTGCCAAGTCAACTTGTCCTTGCATTGGAAAAATCAAAAATAGTAGAAGAAATTTATTATTGAAACTAATAAAGAAGTAAACGATCTATATACGTTTGTGTTTAATTTGTAGCTTTAAAACTTAAGGGAGTAATAGCAATTTATAACTTACACAAATTTTTGTTGAACATCTTGATATATGTAAATATAATACTTATGAAGAAACATTTATTTAAAAAAAATCCACTTTAAACACACATACAAAATAAATATACACACATGCATACAAACTCGAGTTTGATCTTTCACAACTTGGTCACATCTTTAAGTTGTGAAAACTAAGTTGTAAAAAGAAAAAAGTGTTATGCATCAAATTTTTTTGAAGGTTTGCTATTGAGCATGTTTCTCGAATATCACGTGTTTTAAAGCAACCCCGTGGCCATTGCTTATTAGTTGGTATTGGAGGAAGCGGCCGACAAAGTTTAACACGACTAGCATGTTTTATGGCTGACTATGAAATGCATCAGGTAATCTGAAAAAAAATTTTTAATTTAATTTCATAGCAAAACAGATATTAAAGTTATATTTTTGTTCAACAAAAAATGCTTTATAAAATGTTTAAAAAAAATCATAAAATGTTTAAAGGTTGAAATTGGCCGTGGTTATACACGTAAAGAATGGAGAGAAGATTTAAAAAAGATACTGCGAAAGACTGCAGAAAGTGAGGTACATAGTGTCTTCCTGTTTACAGATACCCAAATTAAAGAGGAATCTTTTTTAGAAGACTTGAATAATCTTCTCAATGCGGGTGAGGTACCTAACTTGTTCCCTTCTGATGAAAAGCAGGAGATATGTGATAAAATGCGACTAATTGATAAGTATGTCTAGGTTTTAATGTGTGTATTATCGATATTTATTTTTAACTTGCTTGCACAATTATAAAATAATAATAGTGACTAATAATAATTATAATAATTATAATCAATAGAAATGACAAAAAAGTCTTTAAGCAAGAAGTTTGGATTTTTAGACAAAGAGAAAAGTCAAAGCAAACTGATGGATCTCCATTGCTTCTTTTTAATATGTTTGTTCAAAGAATAAAAGAAATGTTACATATTGTACTTGCTATGAGTCCTATTGGTGAAGCTTTTCGAAATCGATTAAGAATGTTTCCTTCCATTATAAATTGTTGTACAATAGATTGGTTTCAAGTATGGTTTTTTTGATATGTTTGTTTTATTAGTTTTTGATGTAAAACTTTAGTTATGAGCTCTTGGATGACTATGACTTTATCATTTTCATAATTGAATTTGGTGTTAATATATGAAAACGAAATGTTTACTTTAGGTACTTTGAGTATTGCTGAGAATTTAAGTCGAGGAAATATAAATAATTGAATAAAATATAAAGTTTTTAAAAAATTTATTTTAACTTTAAGTAATAAAAAATTAAAATGAATTTTTTTATGTTTCATCTTAGTAACGATTAGGGTAGACTTTGTTTACCTAACAACACCCATAGCAATCTTTTTTTTTCAAGGTAGTTTATTAATTATCACCTCAAAAATCAAAATACATTTAGTCATAGCATAAAAAACACTGTTAACTCATATATATTATTTTTTTGGTAACTTTTTGCTATATTTTAAACTCCTTGCCGTGAAAGTTTGATTTGTATAACACTGTAGAATGCTGTGTAAAGTAACAACAGCAGTGTAAAGTAACAACAGCAAGTTATATTTACAAGTCATTCAATGGTAAGTCGATATAAAAATAAAAAAGGTTTAAAAAAATTTAAAGATTTATCAAATATATTTAAAAAAAGTATTTAGAGGAAACCAACATGTTACCAATTAAAGTATAGACACTTTTAATCAAACCTCTGTTTTAAACTAAAAAAGGAAGTGCAAGTCAAAAAAAATTGTAAGATAATGCTGAGTTTCATGATGTAGAAAAAAAACTTGAAATATAAATTGCAGAGAATAAATACAATATAATTATAAACTTTAAAATTGTAAAGACAATGTTTAATGATTGTAAATGTAGTGAAGGTTGTTCATTAAATGGTGGAATGTTATTACTAAAAGACAATTTACAAAATAAAAATAGGTTCTTATATGAATTGCAGTTATCATTTGATGAGTGTGAGTTTTTTCCAAACTTTGATACAACTCTTTCAAGCCTTAGACAAATTTTAACTTCTCCTGGAAAACATGTTGCTGCTGTAGAGTTGAATGCTATTGTAGCTTTTAGAGAATTTGGAAAATGTCATAAATCATTGTTTACTTTTGCATTATTTATGAATATGCCACCAAATTTTGTCCAACATCATATACTGCTTGTGGCAGTCTGATAAACTAACAAATTTATTTAAATACAAAACAGAATTAGGCCATTAATTAGCCATTCACAAAATTTTAAAACCACTTTTCATAAATTTATCTTATCAAGATTTACTAAAAAAGTGTCTTTGCAGTAAAATACAGAACAGCTTCAATGGTGTAATTTGGTAAAGATGTCCTTAAGATATATATAGGAAAAGTGGGGGGATAACGGCATATGGAGGCACAACCATTTTTTAACATTTTCCTTTCAAAAATGTAATGTAATATGGCAAAAACAATACCACGCGTATGTAAAACAGCTTCCTTTATTTCGCTTATGTCAAAAAGAGTATCTGTTGCTTTTCTGAGAAGTTGTGCATAATAATGTTTATTTTAATAAAAGTATTATATTTACATCATATTTTTCCAGACCTTTCTTTTGAGGAATAAGCTATGTTTGATTTTAGTGTTAAAGATATGTGTTATCAGCATTATTTCATCAAGTAAAAACCATTTTTAATATCAACATAACCTAATAAGCAAGCTATGAAACTGTATTCTTTCTAAAAACTGTCCTCTGGGGCAAATTGCATTGACGCACATGAGGCACAACTGTATACTTTTAATGTTTTTTAAAGTTAGGTAAATATGAATGTATATCTGGTGATTATTATATTATTATATATTGTAGATTTATAACTGTGTGTTTCTTAATTTTTGAAATATATATATATATATATATATATATATATATATATATATATATATATATATATATATATATATATATATATATATATATATATATATATATATATATATATATATATATGTATATCAAATGAGAACCCTCAGACTGTAAACTCAAAAAATGCCTACGCAGTATACAAACATGCAATAAAATCAGCAAATAATCTGATCTGTGACAGTTGTAAAGAAAATGTACCACGGAAAGTGTGCCCCTAAATATTTTTATGAGGGTGCGGTAATGCCTCACAAAAAAGGCAAAACCACGAAGTGAATTTTTTGTGTAATAACATTTTCAAAAGCCATTTAATTTTTTTCTTAATTCCATCAATTTAAAGCCTAATAATGTGGTTATTGAAACAAACTGTTAAAAAAACATTTCGTTTTTTTTTTCATATAACATTAAACCAAACATTACGGGGGCGGTTATGCCCCCACTTCCCATATATTGGTAAAAGGTTTTTAAAATTATCATTGAATTCTACTATTAATCATTCAGTAATGGTTTTCAAGGTGTAATTAATGTTTTAAAAGCTTGAGTAGTAAATAATTTATTTGTAATTTTATTATTGTTTTCCATTATCTCAATATTAGATTTGTAGCAAATCTTATGAAGTTAAATAAGATTATCTCCATATAGGTTTATTTTTTTTCTTTGAAATTTTCCAAGTTTGTTCAAAATACGTTGGAAGAGGACTGGTAGCAGAATAAATATTTTTGCTTGATTATAAGTTTTGATTTTTGTCATCACCCAACAAGACCTACCCCGTAAAACAAGAAACTAATATGGTAATCTCTATAAGTTTGGAAATATATCAGTAAACTGGATAAAACTACTAGGGTACCTAAGTTGACATAAGTAGCTAAAATACCAAAGGGCATTAAAAAAGGATACTTTTTGAGAAATACTTACTTTAAACAACATGCTAAAATAGAAGTAATGTTGAATATATATATATATATATATATATATATATATATATATATATATATATATATATATATATATATATATATATATATATATATATATATATATATATATATATTAATGCTAATTTAAAGTAAAATACAACATAAGTAGACTAATTTGAAAAATGAAAATTAATTATCAAAGAAATTCATTTAAATAGGGGTTGACTACCTTAAAATTCATTTGAATAGGGGTTGACCACCTTAAAATTACTATTCATATATAATATTTTTGAAGGTCGTGTTTTTTTTATTTAGCAGAGCCAATGATCACATAAAACTTTAACATGCTGATATTTTTGTGAAAAGTTATTTTGTATTTTTCAGAATTAATTAAAATTGTTTAGAAAATTTTGTTTGCTTTCAATTATCACCTTTACTGTTAATGCTGGACTAGGTTTTGAAAAGTTATTTTGTATTTTTCAGAATTAATTAAAATTGTTTAGAAAATTTTGTTTGCTTTCAATTATCACCTTTACTGTTAATGCTGGACTAGGTTTTGAAAAGTTATTTTGTATTTTTCAGAATTAATTAAAATTGTTTGGAAAATTTTGTTTGCTTTCAATTATCACCTTTACTGTTAATGCTGGACTAGGTTTTTTTTCTTTGTTTGATTAATTTGTTTCTGTACAATCTTAAGTAACTTTTTCTTTTTGATCTTCAAACACTGCAATTGCATGTTTTTCTGTCACACACAAGGTGTAAATTTTTTTAACATGCAATTGGTTATGCTTTTGCAGAAGGATTTTTAATGTGGTTTCAGTTTCCACTTTTTGGGTCAAGTTTTGTGATTAATTTTAATATCACTTTTTGTTGTGAAATTGTTGAACTTTTTTAAATTGATTATAAATAACTGATAAAAAGTTCAAGAAAAAAATGTTATTTAAAGATTTATGTATATATATATATATATTATATGTATATATATATATATATATACATATATATATATATATATATATATATATATATATATATATATATATATATATATATATATTATATTTATGTATATATATTATATATATATATATATATATATATATATATATATATATATATATATATATATATATATATATATATATATATATATATATATATATATATATATTATATTTATGTATATATATTATATATATATATATATATATTATATTTATGTATATATATTATATATATTCAGAATTTAAATAAAAATTAAATTTAAAAACTTTTAATTTTAATTTTAAAACTTGCTGACATCTGATAAATAATTTCAAATAAGATATATGTAGATAAGTTTATCAAAATATTTTGATTTTTTCAAAAACATTTTTTTGTAAAAAACCTAAAAGTTTGTTTTATATTACATTTATATTTTTTATTAGGAGTGGCCAGAAGATGCTTTGACTGTGGTTGCCCAGCGTTTTCTTGCAAACATTAATTTACCACCAAATGTTATTGATGGTTGCGTAGAGATGTGTAAAAACTTCCACGTGACAACTAGAAATCTTTCAAACAGATATCTTAATGAACTTAAACGTCACAATTATGTCACTCCTACATCGTATCTAGAGCTGATTAGTACATACAAAAATCTATTATGTTTAAAACAGGAGTAATTGTTTTTGTTGTTCGTTTTACAAAATAATTGAATGTAAAAGTATTATTATATATATATTTTTTAGTTGCCAGTATGGTTTGTATGCAGTTAAAGTTTCATAGTTTATGAACAGTATTGATGTTAAAAAGTAAAAAAAACTGATTTTTATTTAGCTCTGTAATGAAACAAGAAAAAAGATACAAAGTTGGTTTAGAAAAACTAGCTTCTGCAGCTCTGCAGGTTAATCTTCAGTACTTAAAGATCAAAATCTTTGAACTTTTGAAGAGTTTAAAAATTTGTAGAAAATTTTCAACTTGATGGTTTAGATTTAAAAATCATGAATTAATATTATTAATAGTTTAAACAGTATCTACAGTATCTACATTTAAGATCTAATTTATGTAATGTTTTATTGGTTCATATAGGTTTCAACAACGCAGGTTCAATTACACGATTTGCAACCTAAGTTGGTTGTTGCTCAGAAGGAAGTTGATGATGTAATGAAAGTTATTGCTATAGATTCTGTAGAAGTTGCAAAAACTGAAAAGGTTTTTAATTTTTTTTCTCTCTATTTTGCATTACTAAATGTGTAAAATAAGATATTTTGAATCAGTTTTAAATTTTTTATCATTTGTCAAATTTAATGAGTGTTAAGTTGTTCAATTATTTTCTATTTTATTTTGGAAGTTAAATTAAAATACTTTCTGTTAGATATACCGAAATTATTTTTATATACTTATAGAAGAGGATGAGTTTTTGATAACGAATCTCCCCCAAGAGGCCATTACTAGGAAGAAGTTTATGTATTATTTTCGTTATTTTCCCTCAATATTTTTATTCCAAAACATAAACTAAAAAGAATTTTTATGGTTGTTTGCATCTAAAACTAAGTTAAGCATAATACTACCTTGAATGATGGTGCACTCAGCCAAAGTATGCTTTTCAATTCCACTATTACCAAATTAAATGAATCTTTCTCAAAAAAGTATAAGAAGTATTTGCAGCACGTATGTATGTCCAGAGTAACTACAAACCTGTATTTGATAACAAATAATTACTCAAAAATTGATTTGATAAGAAACTTCTGAATTGCAATGTGTAGTGCTGTAGTGCTGATGCTAATCTACATCAATTTGTACCTGCAGAATTATCCTTAAAATGAATCTGGATATGTGCTAACTGGGTCATGTGTGTACAAAACCTTTAAAGTTTGCTGCTAAAAGAAACTTTAAAAAAAAAAAAAAAAAGCTTTAATATAAAAAAGGATTTGGTATTTTAGCACACAGTTGAAACTAGTATTTGTAATTAAATACTTCTTTTTTTTTAACTTTTTTTTCTTAAATTCTATAGATTGTCAAAGCAGATGAAGCAATAGCAGATGAACAAGCTAATGCTGCAAAACTTATTAAAGATGAATGCGATAGGGAGCTAGGTGAAGCCATTCCTATTTTAGAGTCTGCATTGATAGCTCTTAATACACTCACACCACAAGATATTACTGTGGTGAAAACTATGAAAAGCCCTCCTGCTGGTGTAAAACTTGTCATGGAAGCAATTTGTACATTAAAAGGAATAAAACCAGAAAGAATTCCAGATCCAGCAACTGGTCAGATGATGTTTTTATTGTATATATAATTATTATATGTAATATAATAAAGTTGTTTTTTGTTTCATCTTTGAATTTTTATTTAAAGTTTTGATGAGTTAATAGTTTATAATAGGCAAAAGAATCGAAGATTTTTGGGGACCATCTCGTAAATTGCTGGGTGATATGAAATTCTTAGAATCACTGAAAACATTTGATAAAGTAAGTTTTTGTGACAAGTTTGTTTTTTGTTAAAAAATAACATATTAGTAGTTATTTTCTATAAATTTTTTAATTGTTAATGTTATATTACAAAAAAATTTTTATTTGTGATCAAATGTTTTATTCCTGTTTTGTTATTTTTTTATTTTTCAAAAAGATTTTTAAATTTACCTAGGATAATATTCCTCCCGCATATATTAAAGCTGTCAGAGACACATATACATGTGATCCAGAGTTTGTTCCTGAAAAAATTCGCTCAGCATCAACAGCAGCAGAAGGTCTGTGCAAATGGGTTATTGCAATTGAAGCTTATGATCGGTAACATTGGTTACTACTATTTTTTTTTCTTGAAATAAATGCTTATTTTTAATTTGTTTAAATATCTAAAAATTTAGTGTTGCCAAGGTAGTAGCTCCTAAAAAAGAAGCACTTGCTCTGGCTGAGGCTGATTTAGCAATAGCAATGAGTGTAAGTGAATTTATTTGCTCCTAATTTCTGTATAATGATTACACAGCTCATAATTGTCAACAGAAACTCAAAAAAATAGTTTTTTCATAATTTTTTTTTCTAAATTTATCTTTTTATAATACAGTTTTATAATGTTGATAGAGTTTAGAAAAAAAACAGGCAAGTTTGAAAGAGGTCCAGTATAAGCTTGAACAACTTCATAAAAAGTTTGAAGATAATACTAAAAGAAAGGAAGACTTAGAGTATCAGGTTTATACTTAATAAAATAACTTTATTTATAATTAATTTATTAAACTAGTATATATTAAACTAGTATATATAAAAAAGTATATTTCAATATTATACATTCATAATAAATAATAATTGTTAAAAAAATTAAAATTTTAATATATGTAAACGCTTTTCTTTCTTTTATTGTTTTTTATTAATGTTTCGAAATCATTACATAAAGTTATAAAATAAAATTCTTTAAAAAAAAAATTTAATTTATTTATGCAAATTACTTTACAGTTTAAGGTTGATTTGCAGAGCAAATTACTTTACAATATATTAATGTGCAGTAAATTACTTTACAATTTAAGGTTGATTTGTGCAGTAAAAAATTAGAGCGTGCAGAGAAATTGATTAATGGCTTAGGAGGAGAAAATGAAAGATGGAGCAAAAGAGCAAAAGAACTTGAAAAATTATACAAAAATCTTGCTGGTGATGTGCTTGTTTCTTCTGCAGTAGTTGCATATCTAGGTGCATTCACTTCAAACTATAGACAGGTGAAACTTTTATTACTGATCATGTTTCTTTAACATACTTGTATCATTAAATATTCATGAAATAAATTTTTTTTGGAACTACCTCATGAATATATACTGTTAAAAATATAGTTGTTAATGACTTGTTATAAAATATTCTTGTTTTCTTTAATTATTTCTGCTAAATTATTTAAAACTAAATAAGATAAATAAGAAATTTTGAAATTTTGTAAGAAAAAGTTATAAAAGCATAAAGCTAAAATAAAGATTTTTTTTAAAGATTTATTAACATATAGTTTGAGTTTTATTATTTTTAACTTTTGAGCTTTCAAAAAAGCCATTAGTCTTTTTTCAAACTTATGTTTAATGTTCTTTTTTTTTTTTTTTATTTCTTGGTTAATTTTTTGGTTAAATTACATTGTGTCATATAATGCTAATGTAGGTTTATACATAATGGTTTAAAATTTTCAAATGTTTTTTATTTTTTTAAGTTTTTTTTTCTAATCATGCTTTTTTTTTACTAATTATTTTCCACATATAGGAACAAACTGAAAAATGGACAAAATCTTGTAGTCTAGCAGGTGTGTCATGCTCTGATAGTGTGTCAGCCACACTTACTCTAGGAGATCCAGTTAAAATAAGAAGTTGGAATATATTTGGCCTTCCAAATGATAGTTTCTCTGTTGAAAATGCAATAATAATAAGGTTTGCAGAAAATCTTTTTTAAAATAGTAAAATAGTAATAAAGTAATTATATTGCTAAAAGTTCATTGAAACATAGTGAACTTTTTATTCCATAGCAATTCAAATCGCTGGCCGCTTATGATTGATCCACAAGGTCAAGCAAATCGTTGGATTAAAAACATGGAAAAAGGACGGCTTCAAGTTATTAAGCTTACAGATGCTGATTACATTCGAACATTAGAAAATTCAATTCAATTTGGAAATCCTGTATGTTTAGTTTTTTATTAAACAAAATGATATTTTTAGTGTGTTTTACTATTTCTCTTAATAATTATGTAGGTACTACTTGAAAATGTTGGACAAGAAATTGATCCTGTTTTAGAACCACTGCTTTTGAAGCAAACTTTTAAGCAAGGTCCAACATTGTGCATAAAGCTTGGTGATAGTACCATTGAGTACTCAAAAGATTTTCAGTAAGTAAAAAAATAAATTTTTATCTTTTAGAATCTTATAAAATATTATAAACTGTAAATTAAAAAAAAACTGAAGACCTGACTAAAAGTATTATTGCAATCAATCAAATTTATTGACTGGCTCAAGGCCCAAGATAATAAATATATAATGGGTAAAAAATTGGATTAAAAAATAATGCACTTTAATATAAACAAAACCCAATAAAAAAATAATTTAAAGTGTTATAAATATAACTCAGCTCTCCATTTAAATATTAATGGAGACTGCAAGAATCTGTCAGAGTGAACAAAAGCTTTACAAAGTTTACGAAAAGTTTACAAAATGCAATTTTTATAGTCTGCCTAACAACCATGTGATGGTGGTTTAAATAACAAAATTAGCATTATTTTGAAAAATGCTTTACAAAAATACAAAACACAAAGTTTACAAAGTCACTTGCATTTTATTTTAAGTCATTTGGTTTCAGTTCATACATCTATTGAGGGTTTATATAATGAAAATAAATGTTATTTTTTTTCTTCTAAAAAACATCTCTAGATTAAAGTCAGGAAAATAAATTAGTATTGTGACAAAATGTGAGTCGTTATTTTGGTACTTTTTTTTTTTTTTTTTTTTTTGCATAAAAAATCTGTTTTTGGCCAAAAATACCAAAAAACAAATTTTTTGTTTTTCGTTTGTTTTTGTTTTTGTAAAAACTGCTCTTTTTTATTTTAAACAAAATAAAATTTTAAAAATATATATATATATAAATTTGAAAATTAAAGTAATAAAAAACCTTTTTTCATAATGACATATATCAAGAAATTTATTTTCATTCTTCTATTTATCATACTATTTTACCAGTATTGTTCTAAATGTTATTAAACTGCTCATTAAAGGAGAAACAAATTTTTATAAAAAACATTTTTGTTAAAAATGTTGTGACAATATAAGTAACAGAGTTTTTTTATTTATATTTTTATGTACAATTTGTTTTGGTGATAAGAACTATTTTCTTCAATTTTTTTTTAACTTAGCTTCAACTTCTATAAAACTTCTAAAAAAATATATTTTTTTATAAAGAAAATGAGAATTATCTAAATAAATGTTTTCATTTTATGAATGAAATACCACTGCTTGCAAAATTTAAAAGAGTAATTGTGTTAATGTTAAATAAAATTTTGTATTTTACTTTTGTTGCATAGTTTTAATAGTTATTTTTTATTTTTATTTTTCAGTTTACTTGCTTTTTTAACTTTTTTTCTGTAACTTCAAATAAATTTATCAATATTAATATCAGGTAGCAGAAATAATATTGGTTGTGTTATAAATAATTTTGGATTGGTGTATTGCATAGTGGGACACATGGTGGCCAAAATCAAAAAAATATTTGCTTTTATTTGGATAAAACAACGCAGAATAAAAGTTTTAGATAAAAATATTTGTTGTTCCAAAGATATTGGTATTTAAAGTTTAATATTTAAATAAATAAAAAATGTTTGGCTTCATTAAAAGTGTTTTTTTGATATGGTCTTTTGAAACATCATAAAGTAATATAATAGAATAAGAGTATTATATAAAATGTTTGAAAGTTAATCAAATCTATTTTTTTATAACAATAAAAGTAATTTTAATAAATCTTAAAAAATTTTGGTTTTCAGCCATTTAATAAAAAGTATTGTTACAAAAACATTAAAAGTCAAATTTGATGGAACTGGAACAAAAAGTCATTCAACCATTTCCCTCATTTTTCAAAAAGTTAAATTTCAGTATGTCCTTAATTATCTGCAAAAAAGTTGGCCACAAAAAGATATGCAGATTTGATAATATCTCATTATACAAAAAATGCAATTTGACTCACTTTTAGAACATTAAATAAATGATCATTAGCTAGGAAATTAGTTAGTAAATTATTTTGATACTTATCAAAAGTAAACAATAATAATGAAGAAGTACTAATTGAAATCAACTTATAAATGATTTTAATTTGTAATTTTGGCAAAACTTTGGTATGGAAATTCTATTGTGTATATAAGTACAAAGATTAATTATACCTTTTTGAGAACTGTTTTAAAACAAAAGCATGGTATGATATTTTAGTTCTTTCATGTTATTTCTATTTTAATTCATTATTTTTTTATTTTAATTCATACATAATTCAATGCATCGCGTTTTAATTCAATTATGGTATTCAGCAAGTTATTTTTGGTATAATATTTTATTTCTTAAAGATATTAATATATTAATATAAAAAATAGTAATATAAAAATATCATAAGTTATAAACTAAAGCACTAAATTTATCTGTAAAAATTAAAAAAACCTCCACTAAAATCAAAATAAACAACAACAAAAAAAAAAAAAAAGACTTTTTGGAGGATAAAAGCACGATAGATAAAAAACGTATTCAAAAAAAAGGATGGGGATCTTTCCCATTTTTTTTTTTTTTATAAAGAAAGTTCTAGATATAGAAGAATAGAAGCCTTTTTTAAAAATTGTCAATTATCCCCCCCCCCCCACTTTGAAATCCGTGTTGTTGGCCCTGAGCAAGCTGTATATTATATGTGTAGAGGAGATTTATTAGAGCAAAAAAAGCATAACGTTATTAAAAATTGTGAATAATTTATTTCAATATGTTGTGCATCTTTGACAATATTATTATAGATTTGTAGTTCAATATTCTTTTTATAAACATTTTATATTTCATTGTTTTTATTCTATCGCATATACATATTACAATAACTGCTGTATATTTGTGCAACAGTTTTATTGTAATAAAATTTAAAATAATGTTGCAGTGTTTTGTTTTACGTATTATTGTTATACGTATTGTATTGATTAGAGAAATATTTTTAGGAATTGTTGATAATGTTTAAATTATAAGCACTTTTGAATATGCTTTGTTTAATTTAGATTTTATATGACAACAAAGTTGTCGAACCCTCATTACCAGCCAGAAACAGCTGTAAAAGTAACACTTCTTAATTTTATGATAACATCTGAAGGTTTAGAAGACCAGCTACTTGGAATCGTTGTTGCTAAAGAAAGACCTGAATTAGAGCAAGAAAAAAATGCACTGATTCTTCAAAGTGCTGAAAACAAGAAGTAAATTTTGAAATGTTGTTTGTTAAAATTCATTAATTTGTAATATTTGGATAATATGCTACTTTATGCATTTATTTTAATGTTAATACATTTGTTTAAATTAGACAGTTACAAGAGATTGAAAATAAAATATTAGAAGTACTTTCTACATCTGAAGGAAATATATTAGAAGATGAAACAGCAATTCAAGTGTTATCTTCATCAAAAGTTTTATCCAATGAAATAGCTGAAAAACAAGTATGTTTTTATTAAAATAGTTTAACTTTATAAATTACCTTTTTTCAAAATTTATCAATTTGATCAACTATTTACTATTTAATTGATAAAAACTTTCTAATTGTCTCTAAATAAAATAAGGGTTTTTCAAGATTTTATTATCATATAATTTAATTATTAAAATAGGCTATTGCTGAAGAAACGGAAAAAAAAATTGATTTAGCACGTTTAGGCTACAAGCAAATTTCTGTTTACTCTACAAACTTATTTTTCACTATTGCTGATCTTGCAAGTATTGACCCTATGTATCAATATTCCCTTGCTTGGTTTATAAATTTGTTTTTTAGTGCAATAGATAACTCTGAGAAATCTGAAGATCTTTTTAAAAGGTTAATTAATAATTTATTCATTAAAATATTGTGATATTTTATATTTATAAATGCTATTTTACATTTAGCAATATAAATATTGTGAAAATGTTATGTTAAATATTATGTGTAAAATAAACTTATGTTTTATTTCTGTTAATTTAGATTAAATATACTGGAGACATATTTCACATATTCATTGTACTGCAATATCTGTCGTTCTTTGTTTGAAAAAGATAAGGTCTTAATTTTCATTCTTATTATTTATTTTATGTCAGTTGTTTATTGTGTGGAAAAATTTTGTAATTGTGTTCTTTATAGTTACATAGAATAATTACATTTACTATATATTTGCATAAATATTTACATGACTTACTGTATAACATAGATGAGTTTATTTCTTTTATAATAAAAAATTAATGTATCAAAAATAGCATATTGCAACAAATGAGATTAGTATCTTATAACTAAATCGTAGTACCAGTTAGAGTTGCAACCCCAAAAAAAACGGTGTGTTTTTTTAAAAAAAAACACGTTTTTTTTGCAAAAAAAACAGACTGGTTCTAAAAACATGTTTTTTATAGTTTTTTTGCTTTTTTTTAGTATTCATTAAATTTTAGATAATAATAATACTTGAAACAGTTCCAGTGCCCTTAAACCTACAAAATACAAATGTTTTCTATTTAATAAAATGCATATTAACTTATATAATAGCTGTTACAAACTAATCACCAATATTAAAAAAAAACAGTGTTAAATATTTAAAAAAGTATTTTTTTAGATAAATCTCAAAAAAACTATACTATTAGCTACTAGTTGATTGTAAGTATAATACTACTGAATGAAGGAAATAAAAATGTTATTTTAGCAGTGTTATTTCATTCATAAAAATGAATGAAATAACACTGCATTGCAAAATACAAAAATGAACCAACTGTTAAATAAAATCTACTTTAATGTTTTATTTACTTTTGTATATTACTTTTTTAAATTTTTAATATTTAATTTCTTTATTTTATTTTAAATTGCAATTAGATAGCTAAAATTTTATTTATTCAAACAATATTCAAGTAAATAAAAATAACACAATGATTAACTTTGTCTAATGAAAAAACATTTATATTAAACAATTTGTAATCTATTAATTATTTTTAATTAAAAAAAAAAATAGAAATCTAAAAAAAAATATCCCAGGCAATAGAAGACCTTAATGAACAAGAAAGCCAGAATACAGAATCTGTTATTAATTAAAAATATATCTTTTAAATGATGTACTATATATTTACCATATATCATGTTATTAATATATATTATATTACATTTATAATAAAAATTAAATAAAAGTAAATAATTTTTTTTTTAATCTAAAAAACAAAAAAAAACCATAAAAAACACAAAAAACACAAAAAAAACATGTTTTTTTTGCAAAAAAAAACACAATTAAAAAAAAACGGTTTTTTTTGCAACTCTAGTACCAGTAAAAAGAATATCTCAATGATGTAGAAAAAAATGGCATTGTAAGCTCTCAAATGCTTATATGCTTGGCAATAGCTGACTTGTTTTAATTGGCAAAATTTATTTGCAAAGTAAAGTTTAATTGATGCAAACAATGGATAGAAGCTTTCTGACATAGTTATGTTACGATCCTTTGCTTAATAGTGTTAATTCCTTTTGTAATTGAGAAAACACTAGAAAAACTTTATATCTTTAAATGTGTGAGCCATAATAACTGACAATCACACAATGTTTTAGCTTACAAGATTCTACAAAGTAAATTAGGTTTACAAAAATAATAAGTCATTTAAAATAAATGCAAAACATGACCAGAACTTGTTATAATAAGTTTTGAAAAAATTAAAATTTTGTAAAAAAACTGAACAACTTTTTCTTTGTTGTAAAGACATTCAATGATTCTACATATTAGGCAACTGTTAAGCAATCACTTTATTTAACTATTTTTATATTTAAATAAACCAATAGAAAAATAACTCAAAAAACATTTTTTTAAAATTTGTTTATTATTTTCAAATTGTATTTGTTTTTTTAAAAGATTTTTTTTTTTTTTACTAGCTGCTTTTTTCTTTCCTGCTCTGCGTAAATCTCTTGAGACAAAAGAATGAGATTAGTCAAAGTGAATGGCGTTTTCTTCTTACAGGAGGTGTTGTTCTTGATAACCCAATTGGAAACTTGTGTGATTGGTTACCAAAACAGTCATGGGACCGGCTATGCATACTTCAAGATTTACACTCGTTTTCTGGCATTCATTTAAGTATTGCACAAAACGGAGAGGAGTGGATGAAAATTTATGATAGCAATGTAATAAAACTTTTATTTTTAAAATACTGTACTAATTGGTTTTAATTTGTATTTTTTCATTAATTATAGTTTACTTGTGATGTTTTTTGACCGTTCATTACCAGTTTTGTTTATTTTAAAATAAGTTTTACTCTTTTTAAACTAGGTATATTATATTAGAGATAAGGTCCTTAAATTGTATAGGTTAATTTTAAAAATTTTATTTTTACACCAAGGGTTTATAATAGAGAAAAAACCTTTTGTTTTTCTATTTTTTTTATTTACAACATTTATTATATTAATTAATGTTATTATGTTTAGTGTTAAAGTATTTGTTAAATTTTTCTAATGATTTTTTATTTATTACAAATATTAACTTTTTCAAGTTATAGCATTTATTTTAGAAACCACACACTGAACTGTTTCCAGGCAAATGGAATGAGTCATTAAAGCAGTTTCAAAAAATTGTTGTATTACGATGTATCAGACCTGACAAAGTGATTTTAATTTTACAAACAATTTATTGTTATAATAAACATGAAACAATACTTCTTTTATGATTTTCTTAATTTTGCTTTTGTAAATTTTACAGAGGTTACTGTTTTTATAATTAAAGGTTGTTCCTGCAGTTCAAGATTTTGTAGGAAAAAAACTTGGAAAAAAATACATTGAACCTCCATCATTTGATTTATTAAAGTCTTTTGAAGATTCTAACTGCTCTTTACCAATTATATTTGTTCTTTCTCCTGGAACTGATCCAACTGCTTCTTTAATCAAGTTTGCTGATGATCAGGTACTTAAATGTGACATTTCTTTTTATTGGACTTTTCTTGAATCACCACTTAAATTGCCTAGCCAATAATTCAAGAATTGCCTACATTAAAATCAATTCATCAAAAAGATTAATTTGAATTAATTATCTTATTAAACTATAATATAGAAATAGTGATATGTATTATAAATACAAAGATAAAGGTGTATAATTTAGGGATTTGGAGGTACAAAGTTTAGTTCTTTATCACTTGGTCAGGGCCAAGGACCTATAGCTATGAAAATGATTGAGAAAGGTAAAAGAGAAGGTACATGGGTAATGCTGCAAAATTGCCACCTTGCAGTTTCTTGGATGCCAACGCTTGAAAAAATTTGTGAGGTAATGAATATAAATCTATTTGATTCTTTGAATATGCTTTTCTATTATCCCTATTTTGGTGATGTATACACACAGATATATATGTATATATAGATATATATGTATATATATTAATATATATATATATATTTATATATATATAATATATATACATATTATATATATATATATATATATATATATATATTATATATATTATATATATATATATATATATATATATATATATATATATATATATATATATATATATATATATATATATATATATATATATATATATATATATAGTATATATGTATATATATATATATATATATATATATATATATATATATATATATATATATATATATATATATAAATATATATATATATATATATATATATATATATATAATGCGGTAGTGGTGTAGTGGTAAAACACTCG